AGCTGGCCGACGCCGGGGTCGATGTCATTGTGAACTGTACTGGGATAAGGGCAGGGGAGCTCCAGCCTGATCCGGAGCTCAAGCCTGGCCGCGGACAGATCCTGAAGGTGAGGCACGGGGCCCCAAAGCATTAGGAAAACACCTGGAGGATAAAGAGGATTTTCAAATGATAGCTGTTTTTCTAAACTCAAGAGAGCAAGAGCCTTATTCATGGCTTAATACAGGTAGAGTGGTCCAGCATTTGCCTTATGTACTGCACAGCGGTGTTCCAGTGGTTGTTTACTCACTTTAAAATATGATTTTCCTGAAAATGGATCCCTTACCTGTGAAAATATTCATAATTGAGAGTTAAAGAGAACTGTTTCTTCACACAAATACCTTGGAAGGAAAGTACAGTTGTGTTGCTTGACACACAAAATTAATGTTTAAGTTTTATTGTTCATAAAGTGTCCTGAACAATGGAATTATCTGAACTCTCTAGTTCTTTTTGAATTCTGGCTTTAGGTGCATGCTCCATGGATAAAGCATTTCATATTGACTCATGACTTTAAGGCTGGTGTCTACAATTCCCCATACGTTATACCAGGGTAAGAGGAAATTTAACCTGAGCAAGTGTGTACCCACTGACATAACCAGTGAAAAGGCCAGCTTTTACGAGCTTAGCAAGTGATTAAAGAATGTTTTTACTCACTTTTATAAACTTAAGAAGCAAAAACATCTTCTGTGCACATATTATACATCGCATTGTATAATCTTTGTCTTTCATTCATTGTGAAGTAATTATATTAATGCATATGTTTATGAAAACAAGATTGTCGTAGCATGTACTCTATATAATAATAATAATAATAATAATAATAATAATTGCTTACACTTATATAGCGCTTTTCTGGACACTCCACTCAAAGCGCTTTACAGGTAATGGGGACTCCCCTCCACCACCAATAATGTATGTATATCATATACACTGTAAAAATAAATGTTTGCACATATATTTTTTAATTATTTCTGTAAATAGAGGTGTCAGGGTAGCACAGTACTGCTATGTCCCAGCTCTTAGATCCTGGGTTTGACTTTATAACTAATGTATTTCCTTCTTTTTGAAAAAAAAAAATCAAAATAGGAGTGAGTTGGTGACTTTAGGTGGTATCTTCCAATTGGGAAACTGGAGTGAAGCAAATAACTCCGCAGACCATCTGAAAGTTTGGGAAAGTGTCTGTAAATTGGTGCCCAGTCTCAAGGTTAGTAACACTTCTCACACTTCTCATACGCAGTCTTGTGTTGTCGCTCTGTAAAAGGTCAAGCTTTATGAAGCATATTCTTACTGCATAGTATCATTTGATGGTGACAGGATTTTAAATATCCCAGTCCAATTACCGTTGAAAGCTTTTGGAAACCAAGAAGATAAGTTGACAACTTTAAGAAAATTGTGGTTCAGATCTCAAAGTAAATGTGCTCCTGTAACCTCCTGAGCTTACCAAAGCTGTCAGGTGTCCTGAACATTGCCTCTGTGCTTAATGAACAGTCTGCTTCATTCGAGTTACTACACCATCATGAACATGTGCAGACTCATACCCTGTACAAGGGTATGCAAAGGAACAGGTAAAGGTTGATTCCAAGCTGAAATGAAAAAAAGAGACACAATGTTTCAGCTGTGGAGCCTTCTTCAGGTGTCTTCACCAGCCTGAAGAACATGACACATGAAATGAACATTTTCCTGTTTCCTTGCAACTGTGGTAAGTGACATGAATCCCATTTCTCAGCATGCCAAGATCGTGGATGACTGGTCAGGTCTGAGACCCGTCCGCAGTAAAGTCCGTCTGGAAAAGGAGACGCTAGAGTTTGGAGCAACCAAGTGTGAGGTGAGCACTGTGGTGACAAGACTGGAAACCAAGTGTGGGCAGAGATGAGCAGCAGAAGAACTGGATCGCAAGGGGACCAAGAGATAACCTTAAGAACTAAGTACCTGCAACGGCCAATTTGTTTAGTAGCAGGCTACTGATGTTCTAATGTACACTAATGTCAAAGGTGCAGGTGAAAAACAAGGAGTGCTGTTCGGTTCTGTTTCACTGGAATTAGAAAGAATTACAGTGCATTTGACTTCTGTTCAAGAGAGAGTGATTTTAAATTCTAAGCAAGACAACAGAGGCAAAAGAAAGTCCACGAAAAAAGGGGTTTCTAAAACCCCAAAGATAAATGTAAGTTTATTTAACCAACATTAGTTCTGTGCACATATCAACATTCATTTTTGCACATCCATTTTTACATAACGCAAGGATAGCCCATCAGTGCTTCTGCTAGGTTAATTTCCATGATGTTGGGGTGAGTGTTCCTGCTAATTCACTCAAGCCTCAAAAAGCATTCCTTGCTTCAAACTACCTAAGCGAGTCTGTTAAATGTCTCACCTCAGGCAGCATTATTATATATAGCCCTAATTTATTTGACATCAGGTAAATGGAGAGGCTGCAGTGCTGCAACATTGCACATTACATTTTCAGAACATGAAGCTAGTTCAGAGTGAAATCACAGATCTGTTGACCGTGCATCTAAGTGCACAAGTGAATGATAGTGGTGATTTCTCCTTGTTCAGGTGATTCACAATTATGGCCATGGAGGCTATGGCCTCACCATCCACTGGGGCTGTGCTATGGAGGCTGCTCGTCTCTTCGGACAGGTCGTTGAGCGGAAAGGCAGGCGGGCACTGTCACGCCTGTGAGACAGTGTGCTTCGTCAGCTGTGCATCTTTATCATTATAGGCCTTTTGAATCCACAGCACACTCAGAAAATAGGAAACGTAAACCATTTTCAACCAACCTGAGAGTTGAAAGTGTTGTAAATCACCCACAGGAGCGATCATAAGGTTGAAACCACAGTGATTGCTGCAATTTAAAAAATTCTCTGATAGCCAGACAAGCATAGAATCTTTAAGAATTGTCCACAGACAGTAGTTTCACCTTCTAATCAACAACACTAAAGATTTTTTATTTGAATGCAAATGTTACGTGTATTAATGTTATGTCTTCCTTAATGTTTTGGTTTAATCATTGGTTAAACTGGTGTTTTCTAAAAGCACAACAGCAACACTAAAAGTATTATAATTCCGGATATTTACCATGTATTTTAAAAGTAACAGAACAGGTTAATGCGATTGTTCATCAAACTCTTTTCTTTGTCAGTATGTTTGTGTTTTAAAAGTTTTCAATCACATATTGCAGTATCAGGTGACAAAAAATAATGGTACAATCCGCATAGAAACGTGTGATTGAAACTTTTAAGGTAACAGATTTTGTGGTATCAATTTTACAAGAATTTTAAAAGAGTCCTAGAGAAAAAACATTTAAGAATAATCTTAAATTGTAATTAAATTCAAAGTTTTATATATGAATGTAATTTTGATATATCGATTGTTAACATTTTGTTTCAGATTAACTGGATACTGTGGTGCCATAAAACTAGAAAATAAATAGCCAACACTTGCACGATGTAATGCTGTTTTTTTTAAACATAATTCATTGTATCATACACATTTACATACAGTGCAGTGGCAAAAATCTGTGTACAGACACGTAAATTTAGCAATAAATTACAAAGGCAGGCATGTAATTGACAGATTGTATGATAAGTGCAGGACTTTCCTGGTCACTTTTCTTGGTTCATTACTTGCAAAGAGGCACAACGCCTTTTTCAAATAACAGCATCAATTAAAAAAAACTCACATTTCGTCCCACACTCAAAAGTAATTGTTCTCAGAGACAAATCAGCATGTGTACATTTTACCTTAAACTTGAAAACTGCATTCAAGGGGGCCTGATATGTAACCTAAATAGGCATGGGTAGTGCTGTTATGGACCTGATATAGCTAAGAGCTCTGCATGTTAGTTCACTGTGCAATCTGATTTACCAGTGGTCGTCGTTAGAGAGACCTGAATGATGGAATTGGAACAAGAGTTGTTAAGCGATCAGGAGTTCCTTTAAGCATAGACAGTAAATACAATAGCTCTGCTTTAAAGCATGGTCTCTATCAAGCTACAGTCAAATGTGGAAATTTAGTTTAACTAATCTAATGTAAAAATGGAAAACTACAGTGTTGCAGTTTTACTTTTATGTTATCATAACCAGGGATTGAAATATAATAGTGTGTGCCCCCCTGGCAATTGTGTGGTTTCTCTTACTGTTGTAGCTGCCTCTTTATTTAAGTTTATTATAATAAGAGTCACAGGTGAGACCTCAGTATCTCTTTATGTTGTATGCACAATATGTGATCAGATTTGAAAGGTCGCATTCAAGGTTTATTACAGTATTTATTCCAAAATGAAATTAACCTAAGAAGGCTTTTTATATCTTTCAGTACGGAGGGCTTCTGTTTTTCTTTTTCCTTCAAATAAAAGCAAACAAGTAGGTAATGAAACACCGTGACTCGTGTCTTCTTCAGGTCTATCCAGGGATGGTTTCACACTAAGGAACACAGGAATCAAAACGTTCCTTGCTAGCTTGTTTGTCTTACAGTCTCTTACGTGCTACCGCACAACCTCTCACAGAAAAGACAGCAGTCTAATCTGTGTATGTGGGAAGAATGTTAAGACCGCTTGGCCCGTGTAGCTCGTTTTGGGTGCAAGCAGGTTAATTGATCCGAGGTGTGACGTTTGATTAACAAGGAGCTGATCAAAATGTTTGTTTCAAGGCTCCGTTGCTTCGTAAAAAGTATCAGGGAAGATATCTTTCACTGAAAAAAACACTCGGGACCTGGAGACCCGAGTGGACATTGTGGGATCTTAAACACTCTGCTTGAAGGAGACAAGGCCAAAGTCGCTTGTCTCCTTTTCCCCCACTGCTCTGATTCTTCCCCTGAAAGGACTCACCGCTCTCCAGCAGAGCAGTCGCTTCACCAGGGGGGACCCGAAGACAAGGATCTTCAGAGATCGCAGAACCTGTGGCCAGTAAAGGTCACATTGGCAAGGTCATTACATAAACAGTAGTCAATGATGGGACAAAAAATAGAATGAAACCATTGCACAGGCAGGCCTCCTCCCAGGATGCCTAGGTACAGACGTGGTGATCGTCCAGGGCTGTAGGGAGACTTGTCTCGGCCCCATTCCCGTCGCGCGCTGCACTCCACCGTTAGTCCTGTGACCCCGAGCTGGATTGTGGGATGCCCCCGGATCTGTGCGAGGCTCTGCCCATCATCTCCTGACCCCACTCCCTGTGGCTGGACTCCTGCAGGCCCCTGCCGGTGGTCTCGATGGGCAGCAGGCACGAGGCGATGGCGGCCAGGATGCAGCAGGAGCAGTAGACCGACAGGGTCAGGTAGACTGAGGATTCCAACATCACCTGGGCAGGTGAAACAGTGTGAAATAAGGGAGGCGTTAGGACATAAGGCCATAAGTGGGGTTATTAACAACAAGAGACCCAGCTTGACTTGCTTGGTGGCTTTGTATTACAAGGTGTCTTTTCTAACAGGATTCCTGGTATTGACTACAATACAGCATCTGGGCCATTTGTTATACACACCTGGGACAAAACACGCCTACAGATAATTAATATTTGGATCCTAAGGTGTTCATCCACGAAGTAGCTCCAGATATAGCTTCAATTTATGCAGGTAAAGCAGTGTTTGGGGAGTTTGTTATATGTCAGGTTAAAAATCTCTAATGTCATTTATACGCAGGAGAAACATGATTAACCCTGTTGCTTCCCCCTTACTGAACAATCTGTGAAACGTTTCTACGATTATACATTAAGAAACTTGTTTTTTTTTTGTATCAACTCTTCTCGCCGATAAAAGTAAGAAAAATATTTTAAAAACACAAACTCGATCTGCACAATAAAGACTGTCACAATAAGGATCAGGGTGTATTAAAAAGATTGCAGTTGCAGACAGGGAATACAACAGTGGTTAACAAATGCCACACAATACAAACGTACCTGCGAAATGAACGGGGTGATGAGTGCACCCACCCTGGCCATCCCACTGCTAGTCCCTAACCCTAGGGCTCTGGTAGCAGTGGGGTATACCTAAGCAACACATAGAAAGCAATCAGTAACAACACCTGATGCACATTGAGCTGAATGACAGTCTCAGGCAGTTTCAGATTAGAGGAGGGGGTACACTTTTGACTGGGGGTTTCAGATTCCATTTTTAATTTCATTATAATATGCAATAGATTAAGAGTATGTTAATAACCAAGTATATATGCTTCCCTTTGACAGGCCAGTAATAAGTGAGCAACATTCCCCAGAAGCCTGAGGGCGTAACCTACTGTATGCTGTGTCACCTGACCACTTTGGTAACAGTGATTGGTCAGTTGACAGTATATAAAGAGGAAGCACATGGCCCCCCAAGGTCTGACATCTGTCATCTAGGGATGAGGAGCAAATCCACATCCACATTTCCACACATGAAGTGTGCTGCTGTAATGGATTGGAAGAACAACCGACCAAGACAAAGCTGAAGATTTGTGAATTTGTGATTAGGAGTGGTGCATTTGTTGATTTTGTTATAGAATTGAAGAATTTTAGCTGCCCCGTGTATACGTAGGAACTTTGAGCTAGGCTTTTGTTTTGTTTTTGTTTAGAATTATATATTATATGACAACATTTCATCTCATTGCTGGATTTGTTTCTATTTCCTGACACTGCACCTAATTAAAAGACCCATGATACAGTGGTAACACATTATGAATGATTAATGTTTTTTCACACAAAATAGCAGTGGGTCTCAATTAAGTGTTAATGCACACCTTGAGGTTTCCAAATACATTATTGAGGATGGGCTTGAAAAAATCTCAAACCCTTTGACTTGGGGATTTTTCAAAGTTGCTGGTTTGCTCTCCTGTAAAGAAATTTAGAGGTCTGGGGCTCTTCTTTCAAAACAGCAGGATACGTTCTGGAAATTAAGGGCTTGTTATAAAATGACAACAACCTAGATTACAGGGGTCCTTCAATAAGGATTCTGAATGTTTTACAATATGCTTAACAACGGGCTTTGTCTATAGACTCCCCAGTGATTCCACACACATCCCCGGAGGTGAAGAAGAGGTGAAGAAGAGGTTAGAGAGCCTGGACAGAGGTACTGCATGCAGACACAGAGCGTCCTTACCTCAGGAGTATAGACATAAGCTGCTTGAAAGCCCCCAGCAATAAATGCCCTTGCAATGAAGATGAACACAGTGAGAGCTGTCCTGTAAAAGCAAAACATCAAAGAATGATCAGAGCTCTCTCCCTTCAATCACCAACTCTTCAAAGACATTCTTAACCTCTCTTAGCGGTCTTCCGGGTAACAGGATATAAGCCACTACAAGGAATCTAAGAATTTAAAAATGCAGTCTTTTACTTTCTGAGATGCTAAAAATGACTTCAGGTCTTTCTAGCACTCTTAGTTTATCAGTGTATTTTAATAAACAACATAATAATGCATTAACACCAAAAACATTCTGCTTCAGTTCTAGGATTAATCAAAAACATATGCCTGTAGATCTAACATCACTAGAAAATGCATAGACTATGGGTCTCCTGCACACAACTGTATTTTTTTGTGAAACACTTCACTGTAATGCTTTAAATTCACCACACAACATGCATGTTCCTGTGTGGAAGCAATCAGATGCTACTCCCTCATCCCTCACCTTCCCACACAGGCAAACATGGGGAGTATGCAGATAGAGAAGATGAAGAAGCAGAGGGCCATGGTTTTCTTGCGCCCAATGCGGTCGATGACCCACAGCGTTACTATCAGGCCTGCCAGAGACAGAGACAATGTCACTGAAGCAACACTTCCTCTCACTTGCAGAGAGACCATCAGCATAGGCAATAGGCACAGACAAGTAGAAGACCTATCTTATTAGTTGGAATAACCTTGAGAGCAATTCTCCTCCTGAATCAGTGCATTTCACTGTTTGCTAGTACACACTGTTTGCAGTTGAAAAGCTCATTATCATAGCTGCAAAAATGTGTTTCGGACTACTGGCAAATGTGTGTTAATCATTATGCTATCTTCTCCAGACCAGAATATACACAGCTCTGGAGATCGGGGACCAGTTTATGGTCCTTGCACTTGAGTTATAGAGTTGTTTGAAATTCAATCTATTGTTTGTACATGTTCACTGCTTATGGATCTGTCTCGTTCATTCAAAGTACAGTTATATGGCTCCTTTGTGGTACCTCTGTCTATGTGGAGTGGAGGTTTAGAAGAGAAAGATGTGTGGAAATACCTGAAACAAATTCGTATTTAATGTCAATTGAGAAAACGTTGAGCTTTGTTTCCTTCCTTTCCTAACCTTCTGACAGTGTGGCACTTCAGGAACTGAAAGAGATGGCACAGTGCCCTGGCAGTTAGCACTGCTGCCTCACAGTTCATGGGTCCTGGGTTTCACTCCAGGATGGGGCAACTTTTCTGAAGGCTCTCTGGAATCCTCCTACCTTCCAAAGACATGCTGGCTATGTTAATTAGTGTCTCTATATTGCCCTGTGTGTGTGTGCCCTGCGATGGACTGGCTTCATGCCCAGGGTGTAGCCCAGCCTTGTGCCCTGTGCAGCCAGGATAGACTCTTTGCTGCCACAATCCTCACCAGGAATAAGTGGATTGCTGGTAATGGATGGACACTGTAAAAAAAGACATTAAATGGGACATTCATGCTGTCCCCTATTCTATATCAGAAAAAACGGTCTGGTTTAGGTGAAGAAGTAGAGGGAACACTTGGTAAATTCGCTTTTTTATCCCATGCATAATTTATTTTCCCCACTGGACAAAACAGCTCTTTCTCCTTGTCTAGTCCTAATGATTTTACCTGAAGGTGCTTTGTGTGAGTGATACAGGTTAGTTGATATTCACCTGGGAACTCTGACAATGTCGTCCAGAGTAGGTCTTTGTAGTCATCTGTTGACAAGTATTTACATTCCAGACTACACCGGGGCTCCATTCTCCTGCCCTTGGAGACTGAGAGGAGACAGTATATTGATTAGGAGATGCTCTGTTTTATTCATATATACAGTAGACGATAAACTTCGAATGGGTTTCGCACAGGGCAATCTGAAAGTATGACATGATCCTTGATGAATCATTGTCTTGGTTTATGGTGCATGCTGAATACAACAAGTTTAGTGCTAAAGTTGATCCAAAGGGCAGCTGAAACTACACTGTCACAAAATTTAATTTAATGTCTAAAGGTTTAAAACAAACTTCTGCAGACAAATTGGTAGGTTGCCACCTGTATGATTTGACCTTGTTTTCAAAACTAAAACAGCACAAATCTAGCAGTATTTTGAATAATTTTGTAACTAACTGATTCATCAGCAGCTGAACAGAGCAGGCTCTGAGAATAAGAAATTGTCACACTCACCACCACACACATCTCCTGCTTGAAATAGCTCTGTGGTCAACAAGACCAAACCGTAGTAAGAAAAGGCATTGGAGAACCTGAAACAGAAACATCAAGATGCATTACTTTCTCATAACTCCTCCATCCTGGTGAGATCAATGGAAGGAACCAAGCTGAAGTAAAATGACAGACCAATTGCACCCATTTCATTTTCCAATTTACTTCCTTACTAGGAATTCTAGATATATATTTTACATGCACCTGTCTTTCATAATGATATGTATCTTATTCTAAAAAACATCATAGCTTCCCATACTGCCTGTTGTTCATTTTGTGGGTGATGTTTCAATTTTATTTGGAGTTCTTTACATACTGATTCACAGAGTTAACACTTGGTGGTATCTAAGTCCTGTACTTGTTGTGCTGACCGAAGCCTTAAAACTCACCAAATAAACCACAGCAGCACCGTGGTCCATCGGAACTGAGGCGAGAAGAGATCCTGGATCTTCCCACGGCTCTCCTGTCACACAGAGACAAACAGGGGCTACTGAAACCAGGGCAGAATGTATTGTGCAGGGTGTTAACCCCTGGTGTCCTGGCCTTCTTATAATCCCCATCTATGAACTGGCTTCATCACTCTGTTCTCCCCACTGAGAGCTGGTATGTGGGGAGCGTACTGGCACACTATGGCTGCCGTCGCATCATCCTGGTGGGGCTGCACACTGGTGATGGTGGAGGGGAGACCTGTAAAGTGCTTTGAGTGGGGTTTCCAGAAGATCATGATATAAGTGTAAGGAATTATTATTCATTTTAGTATTTGACCATTCTTCCTCTTCTTCTTCTTCTTATTATCATCATGAAAATGGTCACAGTTAAAATGAAGACAACACAGCTCTCTCCTGAAGTGTCAGACACTGTTAAATTGTCCTTGGAGGGGCCGAAAGAATTCCTGTCTGGTAATGCGATGTGATATTTACTCCCAGTGAAACCCCACAATAAACAACTTCAGATTCTGTGTAATGTGCTTCCTCGTGTCTGTTTAAACTCGGAACTTGCGCAGCAAGTTAAACAACAGCTCAGATTCAGCTGAGCTCAGTTCTAATTGTCCACTGTCAGTCCTTTATGAAGTACTTGAAATCCCTCAGTTTGCAAAGCTCGGTAGGATTCGTGCTCAGAATATTTCATTCCCCGCAGTGCATGACGAGGTAACGGGCCAGTGAGCTGATGAGGTTAAAGGTCAAGTGTGGTATGGACTCCCACTGGGGGTACCCAGCCTATCCTCCTCTCCTCACCTGTCTAGCAGCGATCAGTTTCCCCAGGGGCATGGGCGCCCCGTTCTCAGTGGCGATTCGTTTCAGAGTGTGAAGGGCCTTTTCCTGGTTCCCTGTCAGGACGTCGTACCGCGCACTCTCCGGCAGCCACTGCAGGGGCCAGGGAGACAGGGCAGAGGGTCAGAGCCGGGAGACATTCACACCCCCCTGCTCGTGGTGAAGGGACGGAGCTCGACACGTTTGTCAACTGGAGCCAAATGAACCGAGAGACACGTGCTTTATCTTTTAATAGTATGATTCAATTTAAATGGCTTTTATACACTACATTGAATTTGTAATTAAAAACTAATAATTTTCATTTTACGATTTAATTTTCATTTAAGTCCCACAGATTGGGTTTTCTCTCTTCTTTAAACCCTCAAAACCAGGTCATTTCTACATGTTTATTTCTGTGTGTAAGCACAGCCGTCTACTGCTCTCTTCTTCTGCTAGTGAGACTCTCTCATTCACCATTATGGACCCATAACAGTGAATCACCTGTAGGTGTCATCAGACACTATACACATGGTAAAAATCCGAATGTACTGCAACAGGAAAAGAGATAATAAATTGAGGTCTACAGATCATACGTTATATATTCGGTTATGGTTTTTTTTTTTTTGGGTTTTCCTTGGTTTTTTTTTAATTTGGGGAGGCGTTCCTCTTTTATTGGCAATTTTTTTTTTTTTTTTTTTTTTTAAGTTTGAAACTGAAAACAATTTCAACAGAAAGCAATCCAGTTTTCAACAGGGGAATTCTGAACACGTAATGTGTATCATGCCAAACACTGATGATAGCGTATATTTACTTTTTATTATTAAAACAGAGCACAACAAAACTAAAACTACAAGGCAGTGCCATTCCTTTCTTCTCTGTTCCCCAGCACACCAACATCACCCACCCAACAAAGCAAGTGCACATGATGGATTAGGTATCGGATTAGAAAGAGTAAATTTCAGAAATGGAGGTTATACCCATTTATGACTGTATAGTTTGACACTGCAGGACAAATTCAATGTATTCCCAACAAACGTGACACAGTGAAGACACAGGAGGAAATAGACGCTTTGATCCCAGCCCTGGAACAGGGCGGAGCTACTGAAACACCTGGGTTACTTACGAAACACAGGAAGGCAAAGAGGATGAGCGGGACAGTGGAGAAACCCAGCAGCCAGCGCCAGCCCAGTGTTGGCATCACCATGATGGCCAGGAGGACTTCAAACACGGTGCCCAGAGCCCAGAACATCTGCAGGGGCAGTGCCAACAGGTCAGCAGGGGGAGAAAGAGTGCCTGTCTTTACAACGTCACTTAATCAGGAACTAGAAGGAACGTGATGGATGGATCATGCCTAGTGCTGGCATTTCATTTTCTGAAATAAGAACTGAGACAAATTGTATGCATTTATTTACAGCAGCAATGGCTAAGAGAGCCTTAGGGGATTTTGTTCTACATTTCATCACAACAGTCCCAGATTTTTGACAGAATACACATTTCTCACCAGTAAACCATTACAGTTATCTCGAAAATAAGTGGATTTTGGGGACCAAGGTCGCACATGATCAATAATGTATATAAAGGGAGACATGACATTTTTAAAAGGAAACACAACATATTAATTTGCTAGTTCTCTGTATTATTTTACCACAAGGTGTTCCATCCATTATTCCTCACATTCTATAGGGGACTATGGCCGGGGCCCATGAAGGCCCAGTGCTTAGCACACTGTATACCATGCAGGGGTAGGGCCCTGAGCTGAATTCCTGGGGTGCTGTCTGTGTGGCGTTTGTATGTCCCCCCTCCCCACGTGTTCCTCTAGGATACCTCTGGGTTTCCTCCCACAGTCCAAATTATAATAATAATAATTGCTTGCACTTATATAGCGCTTTTCTGGACACTCCACTCAAAGCACTTTACAGGTAATGGGGATCCCCTCCACCACCACCAGTGTGCAGCCCCACCTGGATGATGCGACGGCAGCCATAGTGCGCCAGAACGCTCACCACACATCAGCGATCAATGGGGAGTAATGAAGCCAATTCATAGAGGGGGATTGTTAGGAGGCCATGATTCATAAAGGCCGATGGGAAATTTGGCCAGGACACCAGGGTACACCCCTACTCTTTTCGAGAAACGCCCTGGGATTTTTAATGACCACAGAGAGTCAGGACCTCGGTTTTACGTCTCATCCAAAAAGACATACTGGTAGGTTAATCGGCTTCTGGGGAAATCGACCCTATTGGGGGGGTGTGTCTGTGTCTGCACTGCAATGGATAGCCTTTCAATCCAGGGTGCTCCCCGCCTTGCGCACATTGCTTGCCAGGAGAAGCTCTGGGTCCTCCGCAGCCCTGTGCTGGATAAAGCAGTTCGAAAATGGATGAATGGACTATGGCGATCTGAAGTCTTAAGTGGCAGACAGGGCTCAAGGCAGGACTACACCCTGGATATGATGCCCGTTTATTCAAGGGCATACACAGGGCCAATTCCGAAACACCAATCACCCTGTCTTTGAGGATGGGAACAATTCAAAACACACGTGTGAAATGAACGCAGGAGGCCCCCTAGGCTGTCATCAAACACAGAAGCCATGAAGGAGCAGTGGTAAACGCCTCGGGACGGGAAAAAAAGACGTTTTCCAAACCTCTATCAGCAAAATGCACGCGGCCCTGGATTTCATCGGAAGGAATTCTGCATAAAGCGTGACGCTGAAAAACAGAGGATCCAAGCGTGCGAAATGAATTCACAATGCCATATTACACTTCTCCTTCCAAAGTACGCTAATGGCACCATCCTAACACTCGTGACTTGGTGTGCTGCCAGTTCACTCTTCTATATTGCATGACCTTTGATGTATACTTGCATAATAACAGAAAAGTAACAATAACATCTATCATCTAAAACCTGGACTAGAGTATCACAAACAAATGTGTCTGACGCCCTTGTTTTCTGTTGACTGCTAGGAATGTTCCTTGGATACAAGCACCTATAAGTACCCTGTGTCCCTGGTGTATATCACTGAATCTGCACTGCAATGATTGCAGCTTCCATTAGCAACACTCTGAACAATTTTAAGGCTGCAGTTGGTGTTACAGAAACATTTCACACTACTAAAGGTTTCTGGACAAGAGAACTGGAGAGAGAGGGTGGCGACGGCCATGTGACATAACCCCTCCAAATCTCCTGTAAAAAAACCCTTCAGCCCAGGACTCAACATGCTGCCTGTCTCAGGTCCGACTTACGATTGCGGAGTTCCTCCAATGCCGAAGCCCACGAGCGCTCGGAGGAAGAGGATCCAGCCGTACACCGGGGCAAAAGCACTGAGAATGCCGTAGTACATCGTCCACAGCACGCTCATCTTCAGGCCCTGCCAATCGCAGTCAGACAGCATGAGCGCGCCGACAAGCAGGCCAGCAAGACGGGCAGCGTCTAAGCAGTTTCATATGCTCATCAGCTGCCGCGTTGTAGAAAAGCATTAAGACCAATCTGTACCAAGGTGGTGCACAATGAAGTCTTGGAAAACTGAGTTTTGTGAAACGATACAGGCAGGGACAGAGAGGAACCTCTCAATAAAATTGGCGCAGCTGCCGATCTGAGCCACTTGAGGCCTCTGAGCGGATTAGCCTGCCAGCGTGCTGCCCGGTGCACACAGACATATTATAGATGCATTCAGGTGAAGTCACGCCACGTGGAGACTTACCGTTTTCCTTCCGTACTTATCCGATATGTTTCCCCAAAGGGAGGAGCTGATCATCATCCCGATAAACACCACCTGAAAATGGCAAGCCCAGAAACAGGACAGTACTGGTGATAACCGTGCCTCTGGCAGTAGTGTTGATTAAAAGAAAAACTTCTAAAGACATATATGTTTCTAGATTTATATTTGGATCTAAAGTACAATAAAAAAAAACGTTTTACACATCTTTCCACAAAATGGCTCTTAAGCTTAAACCCAGTTTGTAATGGTGCTGAGAATTAGTCATGGAAAACAAACGCTTCGTGAGCATGTTATAATCTACTATCAACTTTCAACAACTGGCCATACAGGATGAATACATCTAAAAGTATATGTCAGATTAAAGAAGAACACCTAAACCTCTTCTCCTTTAAGGTCACAGGTAACTCATTGTTGTTTTGTTCTGTTGACTTTCTCAGTATTGTAATGCAATTTTCCACTTTTCAAATTTCCCATACTCTATGCTCATACGCTACTCATACGCTAGAAGGAACTACATTCATGCTTTTGGTGGTAGTGGTTTGGTGACTAATAAATTTGATGCAGTAAATCGCAGTAAATTCAGTAAATGTGAACTCATGCAGAGTAATATACTTCAAATATTTTTTACACAGTTATGTACTATCCTGTGAGCACGCTATGGAAATACTCGCTATGGTATGACTGTATGGCATGAGACCTGTCTGTGTGAAAGGTAAGAGGGTCTGACACAGTACCGATGTGAGAAAGGCCACTTGCCAGCTGGGTAGCCTCCATTCGCAGTGCAGCTGTGGAGCCAAAATACTCAGAATCATCATTTCCATGGCATCTGCCATCTGGACAAAGAGAGACAACACAGAAAAGAGAGTTTTACTGGTACAGTGGCAGAGTAAGCACTGGCCTGCTTTAATTATACTGCTTTGAGTGTTTTACTTATCCATTTTAATTTTATTATTACAATAATGACTAGACACCACGTAACCACCGAGATGTCTAACACAACTACACAGTTCTGAAAGTAAAGTACATCTTTGGGTACCACAGGTTTCACAGCCTCAAGAGCAGGTCTGTGCCTGACGAAGGTGAGGCAATATGAGTCAGTAAAATGAACTAGAACTCATCACTTTGTTGCCCCAATGTCAAAACAAAACAGGATTCAGCATTTCTCCACCTTGATGTAACTAACATCTCCAGCACCCACAGGTACAGAACAAACTGGCTGTGTTGGGCTGGCTTCCTGCCTTGTCCCCTGTGTGATCCTCACCAGGAATAAACAGATGAATGGAAAACAAACATCATATGCTAAAATATACACGTAATTCTAAGGTGGTAAGTAGATGTCCAGACTATGTTGACTGGAATGTAGATCTGTGTATTCTTCAGTTTTAACTCAAGTATCAGAAGGATAGACTTAGTACCTTTGTTACTGCACACAGCTGAAACTGCGGCACTACTGATCATACTACTGATCTTATCAAAGCACAATCGATACTTATCACAGATGTCTGCACGGGTCTTCAGCTTTGTGCATGCCCCATCCCTGCAACAGAAGCGCAGCTCAGCTACAGTACATTAGCTTCTCACCCATGATAATCCTGTGAGAATGGAGAGCTTCCACTGGAATTTTCCGAAGCCAATAGCTTCCACCGCATCTTCCACCATAAATGTGTCTGAAAGGAGAGAGAGGTCTCTGAGAGCTGGCTATTCCTGACAGGAGGTGGAGAACAGGTATTGTGGTACAAAGCTTCTCCTGTGCCGAGCCCACAGTCTCCACAGGAGATCCCCGTGGTCACTGGAGATCCATGCAACAAGAAATCAGACTTCTTGGAAGGTACGCTGCATGGACTATTTAAGACTGCAAACGTTTTTTTTTCTCCAATACGATTCTTGTTAAAGCTGATGCAATTGCACAGCCTGTGCAATTAACTTCTAAGGACTGTACTCTTTTTGTGATAAGATAAATTATCATTCTGATCCACTGTCTGAGCTCTCACAATGCTGGATATGCTGGTACCTTCACCCCTCACTGCTTGACCTTTTTATGTTTCTCAGATTAGGGGTTTAACTGACAGAAAACGATAAGCCTGCTATTTCTACCATAATTCATGATTTTGGGCTACAGCTGCAGAAACAATTAGTAAACCAGAAACTGCAGTATGAGGGCACTTAACCTGAGTGTAATTAGCTATGTTTGTTGCCGAAGCAGAACTCTAAATGTACCAGCGATCAAGCCTAAGGGAGGATGGTATTTGCACAGGCCGTAATAACAAAGAGCTAAGTGATCTGGCTATTTAAATAAGTAGTGCAGTGTGTTTTGTCAAGCACTTGGTCTTAGTTTGGTTTTCTTTGCTAATTTTCTAAAATTGCCTTTATGTTGGGTGAAATGGCACCTGCTGCTTCTTGCTACACTTTTTTGGGGGATTTTTCATTCCCAAAGCCACAGTGCAGGAATACTGCTGATTGGGTATTATTTTTTGTTTAATTTACAAATGTTTCATGCCAATGAAAAACCTTTTGCCTAGCCCAAAAACCTCCAGGTGTGCCTGCTGTTCTGCGTGAAGCCGGGCCTTGTGGTTGCTGAAATGTGTGCGTAAGTTACCATCGGTGGGGTTCGCAAACTCCCTGGGGACCGCAGCCCCATCGCCCAGCTCCACGGGGTCTAAGGGTGCCCGCACTCCCTCAATTTGAACTTCGTGCTCCCCGCACATGATGTCATCCTCTGAGCGCGCACTCTCCCCCGTGCGACGAAACTTCACCACACTGGGGACAAGCGGGACAAACACAGACAGAAGAATGGCGACAATCAGGTGCACTAGGTAGAATATGGAAAGCAGCCAGGGCCAAATGTGGCTTCCCTAGCCCTGAGAAGGTCGACCAGGTACAAAACACAAGCATCCAAGTATTATCCAAAGTGCTGTTTATGAAGAAAAGATCAAGCAACTTTTCCTCCCTCAAAGACTTACAGTACAGACTGTTGCATCCATGACTTGACGTAAGCGAGCTTTGATATTTAAATCTCTATAATCAGCCAGGATCACCCTTCAGCATCTGACTTCTGGGGATGTTTAATGCAGATCTTCTCCCATCCGTGTACTATATAATTATCCCAGGCCTGCATTTATTGTAGCATTTTACTTGATTCTGATACTCTTTGAAAAATAAAAACTAATTTATATAAATGGGCAAAGAAAGTGAGAGGTTAAACTGCTTGCACTTATTTATGAAAATAGCTAATAACTGCAGTTACAAATTAACATTGCGTATTTGCATTGCAAATGTCACTGTATCCTGCAGTCACAGCAAAGAGTGAATTTTTCACTCAATGAATATAATGTCAGATAACAAATATGGTTCAATTGTGTGTGCCTTTCTTTAAAGGTTAGGTAGGAGTAAAGTGTCCCTTTTGCTTTCCTTTTTTAAAACCCACTGGAAAAGTGAAAGAACATAATTTATTATTTTTCAATTACTTTAAGCCAAGTGACAGTACACCTAATTTTTAAAATATGTTTTAAATGAGCGATACAAACCGGAAGATGTCATATCACTGCACTTATAATGTGATTATTATATACAGTAACAGTACAGTGAAAATAACAGAATGTTGTTTTTATTTAATGTTATTCTTAGATTACAGGTTTGTGCTTTTCTGTATCACACTTTTTGTCTGTAAGGGGTGCAATCTTATCTAATGCTGGAACATACAGTACATAGAAACATGAGATAAATATATCTAGTATGAACAGATAGTGGCCCAACTGACTCAAAAATCCATACAGACATACTGTACCTGATTTCAAAGTAAGAACATTACAGAACAGAAGTGAGCAGATTGGAGAAGAACATTGTTTTTTTAATTACATCTGAAAATGTGTTGAATAATTTAACTGTAGGGAGCTGAGGGCACAGCTACAGTTTTCTGATAGTTATCAGAAGATACATGTTCCATTATCAGTTCCCTGATTTCATGTAGCTTCTCAAAATAATCGACTAATTTTGTTACCTTGAACTGGAATATTTTAGATTAAAATATATTAATAACATATTAATAAAATATATAATATTATTATAAAGACGATAATGTTTTGAATTTAAAGGTTCTGTAAAATTCAATTTGATCCATTGTGGCACTTGAAATGCTACATTCAAGATGCACAGTGTAACTCTACCACTAAATTAAAAACAGTTTATTGCAAACATAACAATACAGGAATAGGTACAGTACGTCTCCCTTGCATCAATACTAGGATATGTGATCTTGGACACAACATAAACCACACCGTGCTGATCCATATATTTAATAATGAATCAATTCAATGTTTCTTAAGAGTTTTCTGAATCCATTTATTTCAAGTAATTAGAAGCATTGTGTTAAAAAAACATTACAAATACCTGATTCCAGAATCAGTGCAGTTCTCAGAAGGGACCTTTTGGCCTGTGTTCATTTTAAAGGCTACTGTACATCTGCTATCAGGAAGCTAAGATTCACTATGGGCTGTCTAACCTGTTTTGTGTTCTGCTTCAAATTACAACAACGCCCTTAACTACAATTCCATTTTTTTGTCTTTGTTACTCTCTCTCACACACACACACACACACACACACACACAGGCTGGAGCTGAAAGAGGGGTGCGCCCAGTCTGTAATCGTGTATTATTCCAATGTGAAGTGGGACATACTACTTATCCATTCTGTAACATGAGAATTCCCTCTTGCTATCCCCCCACTATGCTATGCTAGCAATGCCAAACCTTTAAAGTGTGCTTTACGTAACATTAAAATAGGTTGTGTAAGCCCTGAGGGTAGGTAGGACATGTAACACCCAAGAGCTTGAAACTGCTCATGCTGAAAACTAAGGCTATGCATTTTAACCCCAATCTCCCCGTACCTTATGGGTAGAGCACTCTTATTAAAAGGTGCCATGATGGAACTGTAGATCTGTCCTATTAATACCGAACGACAAGACGAAGATGATCTAACCTCCTCTGCATTTTATTGCATGTACTGCCTTCAGTGGGTACTTCAAAGTGTGGACCCCTGGGGTCACTTGGAGGGCCACCTGTGTGACTCTGAGGTCCAAGCTCAAACATTTGTATTACATACAACACATAGAGCTACCCAACCATTCCAACCCACTCCACTGCAGTACCTTAGGGCAACCAGCACCATAACTGTTGTTTTGACCCAGCTATCTGTCAGTGAAGGGACTGAGGATTCTCCAGTGGAGTGGAAAGGAAGGGCTACTCAGCCATGTTGTCTAAGCTGAACGTTGGCTTCTTTCAAGAAATGGCTGGATCAGATCCTGGGATCAATTAGCTGATGGAAAATAAACAAATGAGATGGCCCAGCAGTGCCTGTGACCTTTCTTGTGTGCTTGTGTTGCCTTGAAACTGCGAGTGTCAGTTCCAAGCCCGTTCTGTTTCAGGAGTGGTATAGAAATGTCAATCCCAAATAGATCCCAAATAGATCTGAAAAGCCTGCCAATGTCTCTGGCTCACTGCATTGCTCACTGGAGCTACAGGACGGTTCCTTCTCTCTCTCTGTGTCATTTTAAGCTAAGACTCCTCAAGATTAATCTCTCGGAACTGCTGATCATACCAATGGCTGGTTATATAGATGTCATTTTAGTAAATTAGTTATTTTTGAAAACTAATTTACAAAATATGGTATCCTTATCTCCAAAAAGATGTGTTGTGTGGACTGCATCTTAGCCTTCATGTTTCTAATGTTTCTTCATCATTTTCTCCTGCTTCTGCGATGTAAAGTATGCCTAAATGGTTAAATAAATACATACATTTTAAAAGAAGAATTAGGTAGCTGAATTGTATTTTCTTTTTCCAGTCCGCGAATAGTGTGTATGTGCATGTTTTATCAAATTAATTTGCATCTGATTTGCTTTACTAAAATAAGGCGAAAAGCTGAATAGCAATTCAGTGCTATCCAATCCACACAAAAGCATACAAACTCTGCTGAACTTCCTTCTATATTACAGTAATCTTGTACGTCACAAAACGAGTAATGTAAATACAGACGACCAAGAACTGTGCAGGCTTAACTAACCTAGATGAACGCTTAGAACAAACAGTGCAATATAATTAAATACAAACATTACTTTGTACACTTTAAATAATATTATATAATGAGCTGAGATTCCCTGAGAGACCCAAGGAATTCTCAAATGTTTTTCTAACACGAAATACGTGAGTACATCTACTCAACAGTTAAAGTGTCCATACAAGCAAAAAAAAAATGTCATTCTACAAAGGGCGTTATAAATGCCCCTATTATTTGCAACCATCCACCAGAAAATAAATATTATGAAGTCAACAGAGAGAGCGTGGACTGTAGGGTTCTTCATTTAGATTTCGTCCTCGTCTATTTACAGTGACCGTGAAATCCTGCTGTAAATAACCCTTTTGCGTTTTTATGCGACGAGGAATTTTTTTCTTTCCGTTTAAAACTGGCGAAGTGGTACACAAAGGTGTCAGCTAGCACAAGCAAAATGAAGCGAATATTTCTGCGGGAAAGCTGCCTGTTTCGCAAAAGGCCGTGATGCATTCCTGGAATAAAATTAACAATTTTATAGCGTGGTATCTGTGGCTTTTAAGCCTCGTAAAACATGACTTACGGGAGTTGTCGGAGCTGGAACAGATCATCGTCCATCGCAGATGCGTTTTTCGTTGTCTATTAGCGCTTTGTTTCATTGCAGTTACTGTACATTGTTTTCAAAACGAGCTGAGATGTCAGCACTACAGGCTCCTGGACAGCGACTTATTCTGACTATCAATGGAGATCATGCAAACGGAGGGGCGGTGTTAGGATTTGAGGTCTTCACGTCATACTAATTGAAGTGACGGTGAGAACGGCTGTTAATATTTAATGAGACGTCAGAGTGAAGTCGGTCCCATAATTACTTCGAATGACCATTGCAAATTAAGACACCGTTTTAAAATGAACGGTAAATCTGCTAAAAAAGATCTGATAAATCTTTCAAAAAATAAAACTGAATTAGAGGTGCAACCAAATCTATACGTGTGAGACTAATAGAATACACGATAATTTTACGAAATGAGTGGCAATGTTTTATTTTAGCAGACCGATTTTGCCCATTTGATGTTTCGTCTAAAAGCCTTGTAGATGTACAGTATGGTATCACCAGATCGACTTGCATTGTTAAAGAATATACAGTACGTAGCGCACCAGGATGTAAGAAAATAAATGGCATCATATTTCACCTTATTTTTACATTTAACGTTTACATAGAACTACAAAGGTTGTGAAACAGCGTTAACTTGGCGCCCAGAGAAACAGCAAAGGAAATCACTCTCAGTTGATACTGTTAAACCAATTACAGAGCTAGCGTCGTCAAGGTTGGGATAAGATTTTCATAGCTAAGCAGTGCGTTGTGTCGCACACGCTCCTAAAAGAGATTCTTCTCGAGTCATCTTTTTGATTGTGTGACCCGAGGTGCTTCATTTTTGTCTTTCATTCGCGCTTTCCACCACAAGAGCTTAGATAAACGGGGGAAACTCTGCTTATGAAATTTGGGAATTCCAAGTTCGGCTAGGGAACAATAGAACAAACGTAAATCCAGGTTGTTGTGTATTATTTATCCAAGATGAGTGAAAATCAGAACACCGAACTCTGAAACTATTCCAAAATGAAAGGGATGTAGTGCTACTGCAGAGTTTGCCAGAGAATACTTTTAATAACAGCTCAGAAAAAAAAAAAGATTCTGTTGGCTGCATTCCTTGAACTTGAGCGAAATTATTGCATAATATATTGTGGCACACTTCGTTATTAATGCCTCTTAAGCACGCTTTGTGGAATTTAAAGGAGAAAAATGTATAAACTGAGCCGAGAAATGCTATATCGTCATTCATGGTCTGATTAATATTTATGTGGCTCTATATGTCAAATGGTCTTATTTCCTTCTAGCAGTGGAAAAGGCCATTGAGCCATTTCTTACGTATGTTTGCTCTTTTCAAAGAAGAAAATCCAGTTATTTGCAGACGTTAAGGACAACATGCATTTGAGTAATTCACATATGGTACAGCACGATGCTGATAAACCCGTACTCTCCCCTTTTATGTTAATATCGATATTGTACTACAGCAAACACATGAACTAGATGGGCCAAATGAAGTTCGCTCATTTGCAAAATGAGTTTTCAACAAAAAAGTAAGAACCTTAGGAAATCTACACGCACCCACAACTCCCTGCTTAAAGGACGTGCTCCGCTGGACTTTTTAAAACGTTTTAAATGTGTTTCCATGTACAGTAGTTCCCACGTTTGTGTTCTGAGTCTTGTGTCACAGGCGTTCTACAGGTGTAGAAGGTTAACTTTGTCAGTGCTCTTGAGGATTTTCAGTGATTGAATCAGGTTCCCACTTAATCTTCACTTTTGAAGACTATAAATATTTTTAGATTAGTTCTTTCAGCCTGCCAGAGGAATGTATCAGATTACTCTTCTGCCAGGGTTGTAACATCCTTTTTAAGGACACAGAAAAGATTAAGAATGACAGGAGTCCACCTGACCACTCTCCTTCATTTTCTCAAGTGGCGAATAAAGAACATTGTATTTGTAACTTAATAGACTTTGATTAAAATGATGTACTTTTAATTACATATCTTGACATTCTGATTTATTTTTTATTTCTCTCTCATTATTCTCCAAAAATAAACAAAACAAAAATAGCATGCCTGCATCCTGTGAATATCAAAGCCTTTCTCATGGATAATATCAAAAAGATCAGTGATCCCCAACTAATATTTATAGTATATATTGTTATAACATGTAACACTCTGCACTTGTCTATATTAAATGTAATTAGCCATGCGTGTGCCCGTTCTTGACTTTTGTCTAATTCCAGAAGTGTGAAATGTTTCGCAGTGCTATCACACTGTCAGAATGTCAGAATTGATAAGGAGGTCAAATGAATCTCAGGTCTAATTGTATGGGCTATTGATAGACTGGATTAACCTGACCAGATCTCCATTTAACACGGCTGATTTGTTATAAATCGGTAAAACAGTCTTATTTTGATTAACATGCGAAATCGATCCTGGAGCAATCGGGGGAGGGGGTTGTCATTTTGATCTGTCGAGTGACGTTAAATGTTGTCTAGGGTTGTGTGACCTAAATAAGATGGCGTCATTTAACACCCTCCATAACGAAGAGGCCACTCTAATCTTTGAATATCTATGGGAAATACCGACGGCCGACTTTCCTGTAGCGCTGTTAATTGCCTCCGTGTAGGAAACAACAGGACCCGTCAGTGTGAGTTCCGGACACAGTTGCGGACGGCGTAGGACCGCTGTGCGCTGGGTTGTAGCCGCGGCGAGGATGCAGTGCAGGACTGAGGCCGCAGACAAGCTTGTGCGAGAGTTCCTCAGGACGGGATCCACTGTCAGGTCAGACCCGAACCGGTGCGGAGCAGAACTACAACAAGGGAAGGGAGCAAAAACACAAAACAAAACGTCAGCGGGCTGCGGATAGCGAGTGAGCACCCAGACCAGTAGTCCGATCATGGCAGTAATATAGTCGTTGGTAAAGGGCAGTGCGCTTACAAAAAGCGTCGATAAAGTTCATTTTCAGGCTGTGCTGTGCTTTTGAAAGTAGCATGGGCGATCGAGGCAGCTGGCTTTTGTGTTTTAAAAGAAAGCTGTGATTAAAGACGAGCTATGGTACAGGTGGAGAGTGGCTGTTTCAGCTTCGTGCATGCGTTTAAACGCATCTGACACTTCGCTTAATTGTACTCTGAACATGAAGGGCATTTATAACTAAGGATCTGATTCGCATGTTATATTAACACGAGTTTGCGAATGAACACTTTTGTGACATATGGATGGCAGGTAAGCATGCGTTCTTTGCTGGTTTTATTTGTGCGCCTACATATGACAGCAGTGCACGTAAAACAGCCAATGTTCAAGTATTATGAAACAGACTTGTATTCTAGAGGTTTTGTAACTTTTGATTTGGTTTTGAATAGCAACTTTTTCAGTATTGAGTTGGATTTTGATGTAATGCACTCAGGTCCTCATTTAGTTTTAGTTTGTGTATATATTCACTCTCAAACTAGTTAAGTGTTTGTTGTTTAAATAAAACTATTCTTATTTTAATTTTTATGTATTATAAGAATGTTATTGTATAAGAATTCTAAAAATATTAATTCTTATATATTAATACTGTATGCTATGACATTATTAATTGTTGTTCAGAAGTTTGCTAATGATTAGAGAGTTGTATTTTATGTGGATATTTTTTGCCCTTTCTTTGCGCATAACCGCAGCATTCAGGAACATACTCAATGTGCACAGAACTGCTCCAGGTAAAATATTTTTAATTTACGGTTCTCAGATTTGGGTCAAGTTCGGACACTCATGAACAGAGTCATAAAATGTCAAAGCTCAACTGTAAATCCTAAAAGTGTCTTGTTTCTAGACTTTGTGTTTTTTTAATAGCTAAGCTGGGGGGCTATGGTGCAGTGTATCCAAGCCTGTCATAGGCATGATTACTAGTCCTGGAAAAATACTCCCAACATTAGTTTTTTTTTCTTTACTGCCACTTGAAGTTGAACAGCTTTTCTCAATGTGTTCCCCTGTTAAATATAACTGTACCTAGCATTTCTTTGTGGAAACCTGTCAGCAAAACACGTCTTGTTTACGACTGTCCTGTGTCTTTTTGTGTGTTCTGTTACTGGGCTGTGAAGGACCCAAGGCTGCCAGCCTCGTTTTAAACTGAGTTGGAGCTGCTTCAGGATCTTTTGAAAGCACATTTCCACGATATTGGCCCCCTTACTTTGACACTGGGGCCCCTTTCCCTTTTGTGCATAAAAGCGAGTCGTAAAAAGCCAACTAATCTGAACATCACCCCTTCCGTTCTTCAAGGAATAAGATGATGAAAAACTGGGGAGTCATTGGGGGGATAGCGGCTGCCCTGGCCGCTGGAGTTTACATCCTGTGGGGGCCGATCACCGAGAGGAAGAAACGCAAGAAGGGTAAGCCGGGGTTTTTCTGGGGGGGGGGGGCGGAGGTGTATTTGAAGAAGAGAGAGCGAAAGAGAAGACACTGTGTTAAAGTGCAGAAGTGTTCGCTTTTTTTCTGGTTTGGAAAAATGGACCGTGTTGTAAAGACCCACACAAAAGGAGTGTGAGTATGGTTACAAACGAGAGGCATCTGGCCTGGTGTCTTGGACCTGACTACTGGGCAGGAAGACGTCCACCCCAGTCCTTGCTGAATGGGCGGTTCTTCCTGTTGGGGATGGGGAGATGTTGCCAATCCACCTACATGGCTTGTTCGTAGGAGCTTGGAAGAAACTAGAGAACCTGCAGAAGCATCGGGAGAATCGGGAAAATGTCTTTTTCTTATAGCTGAAGCCTGCAATGACGGTTGTAAACAATTGCTGGGCTTGCTTTGGTTTTCTCTCCCTAGGTATGGTTCCTGGGCTGTTGAATCTGGGCAACACCTGCTTCATGAACTCTCTGCTGCAGGGCCTGGCAGCCTGTCCCTCATTTATTAAGTGGCTGGAAGAGATCACGGGCAGAAGCGGCCTGGACCAGAACCAGCAGGAGAGAGAGCTTCAGCTCTCCAAAACCCTGCTGCATCTGCTCAAAGGTCAGTACAGGGCGACTGATGAGGCAGTTGGAACAATCTGTGCTGTGGAGGGTGGAATGTCTTATTATACGAGGCTGATCTGACATGTGTCAAATATCTGCGTATAATGTATTGATAAAAACAACACATTCTTTGAAAATTGTGAATAAATAGCTTACTCAGGCAGTGTGATTTTCAGTTCTCTATCCATAAATTGCAGATCATAGAACTTAATATCTTTTTTCTGTAAAAATGTGCAAATCTAATCAGGGGTAGGACTCATTTTATGTTACTTTATGAATAATATAAATTATTTAAAACTAGTGCTGTCATTTGAAAAATTGCTGAATTCAAGAGAAGAGCCGCTGTCTTCCTTCTGCAGAGAGCCTAGTGTGAAAGTGATGATAAATATAGACAGTATTTGATGCGCTTTCCAAGCTTGGTTTATTGTAAGGGCCCGTTTTAATGTTCTGTGTTACATCTGTAGCTCTCTCTAGTCACGAGGCCACGGAGGATGATGTTCTGGATGCGGGGTGTCTCCTGGATGTCCTCAGGTCGTACAGATGGCAGATCAGCTCCTTCGAAGAGCAGGTTAGGGCAGTTCATTGATTAATTGATTAATTAAGCCATTACATGACAGTCTGGCTTTATGGGGCTTCTGCTTGGCTAGTCATAATGACAATAACGGACATGCTTTTTGAAGACGTTGTGCGACACAAATTGTTTTTCTTTGAACCGCAACATATTTTCATGAGGCTTGGAAGCAGTTTTGTGGTTAACTGAAGCACTGAAACAATGCGCTGAGCATGATAGACAGCAGTTTGACCCCATTTATGGGTCCAGTTTTATTTTTCTCAATCACTTCTTTGCTACTATAGAGCACAGTGGTTCATGTGTCCAAAGGACTATGTATATAATCTAGATTAAACCAATCACTAAGGGAAATCTGTCAGTACAGTAGGCAAAATATGACATTTATATTTAATTTAGAGAAAAATGAAACTGCATTACAAATGAGCAATTCAGGGACCTTTTTAAGCTTTAGTCATCTGCCATGACTGCTCTCTTCTGCAGAGAACGTTCTGCACTCTCACCACATGGATTAAGTTCTTTTCAGTGTAGAACGTGACCCTCCCGCCTCTCTTTTTCCTCCCCAGGATGCCCACGAGCTCTTCCACGTTCTCACGTCCTCTTTGGAAGAGGAGCGAGACCGACAGCCCCGCGTCACCCACCTCTTTGACATCCATTCCCTGGAGGTCAGGCTCTGAATCGCCTTCTTCCTGCCGGGATGAGCTTGCAGGTTTAGCCAAGATGGGATCATTCTGTGTCTCCTGACCACTGTTGAGACAATGGGAATTCTGTACAAACGTAATACTTACCCAGGCTCTAAGGATGACGGGACATGTTTTTTTAAATAACTCTTTCTAAGGAATTATGTTGTGTTCTATCTTGGGACACGTCAGTAAGAGCAGAACAGGCTAAAAAATGTTCCTAGAAGTGTTAATCTTTTTCAGATGTTAACAATGAAGGAAGGTGTTTCTTTCAAGTCGTGTTTTAAGAACAGTTTAAGATCAGTTGCAAACCAGAGGCCATCTGGCCCATCTAGACAATCGTTTGGTAGTTGTTTTTTTTTGTCACTGATCTCAGTGCCTGTGATTCATTTCACAGAGTCCCCCAGAGCAGAATGAGAGGAAAGTCACCTGCAGAAGCCGTGGTGAGTCGAACATTTTGCAGCACATGAAGGATGTTTGCAACATCCCAGGCCATCGAAAATCCTAACCTGTGCGGAAACTGAGCGATTGGGCATGATTCCACTTGAGCGCTCAACTTGATTGGCTGATAGTGCATGCAAGACTACATCGCATTGTAGGTGTGAATATTCATTAGCTCATATCCTGTCACAGCACTCCAGGGAGTCAGCTGTCAAAAGTCAACAAGAGGTAGTGAGATGGCCCCCTCCGCCATAGTGCAGTCATAGGAAATGAGCGAATTAATATTAATATTAAGGGTGCTTTGTCATTGTGTGACTCTTAAGCACGCTTCCTAACCTGGAAGGTTTCCTTTGTAAGATAATACAGCGTCTTGTTTCTGTTTACAAGGAGGTTATGTGATTTGTGGAAGGAGTACATGAAGGACATGCTAGTCGCCCAGAGCTGTCAGGACTGTTGAAGAGTTAGAGGACTCTGTCATATTTAATTTTGGCCCCAGCTTTCATGTAGTCTGAAACAGCTGCCTTTTAAAATCCACAGTAAGAAATAAAATCCCCCTGTCATTTTTATGACAACCTAGCTTTGTCATTCACGCAGGAATGGAAGAAAAGAATGACTGTGAAATTATGAAGAGCCCCGTACGAGGCAGCAGAACCCCGCTCATAATAATGCTCTGCCCCTGCAGGGCCTCTGCATCCTTTGCCGAACCCTTGGAAATCCCAACACCCTTTTCATGGACGGCTGACGAGCAACATGGTGTGCAAGCGCTGTGAACAGCAGGTGACTGATACAGTGCTGTCTTACCGTGTGAAATGCTGGCGCAGAGGAAAGGAAATAGCCTCTCCAGCTCATGACAGACTGCTCCCTCCCCAGGAAAACAAAAGAACATTTACAAACGAGACAAGCCCATCTAACCTGTTTGGTGGTTCAATAGTTGGGCTGGATTTGGCCCCTCTTACCCACAGTGCACTTCAGCCACAAACTAAATAATAATAATAATTGCCTACACTTATATAGCACTTTTCTGGACACTCCACTCAAAGCGCTTTACAGGTAATGGGGACTCCCCTCCACCACCACCAATGTGCAGCATCCACCTGGATGATGCGACGGCAGCCATAGTGCGCCAGAACGCTCACCACACATCAGCTATCAGTGGGGAGGAGAGCAGAGTAATGAAGCCAATTCATAGAGTTGGAGTTAATTTAATGGAGTTTCATTAAACTCCATTAAATGAAATGGAGTTTATGGTTGAAGTGCCTTTTATCATTCCTATACATTTCTGCGATCAGTGTTTTTAGGCTGAAGTAGCTGATTCATTGATGAGTGAGTTCAATTCTGAGATATGATTCTTAACGCTGATTTATAAATATGTTCGATAACATTTACCCTGTTTTATTTAAAACTCTATGTGTGTTTTTTCTCCATTGCAGAGCCCTGTCCGGTATGATTCTTTCGACAGCTTATCTCTCTCCATCCCTTCAGCACCCTGGGTATGCACACGGACTTGGGATATTGTCAATAATATATTCACTAGTGCTATTGATTCAGTCTGGTTGGATACATATATTATGCCTGATGCCTAGTCATTATGTTATATTATAAAATAAGCACAGAAGCAGGTGTTTAAATTTAAAAAAATCTTTAGATATTTCTTTTTTCTAGCACTCGACTAGAAAATTGCTAAGAAGCTGAGCAAATCAATATTTCTAATAGGGTTTTTGACTTATCTTTAATGTTACAATCATGTTAATTAATATGCTGCAGATTTTTTTAAACATTTTTAGGAAATGTTTGCAAAAGCCAAATTGATGTAGAGTTTAAAGCCTTTCTCTAGTGTGACTGTGGAGTAGAATACATTTTCACGTGAAACTGATCAAGTATATCCTTCAGGGTCATCCCATAACTCTTGACCATTGTCTTCAACATTTCATCTCCTCTGAGACCATCAAAGAAGTGGAGTGTGAGAACTGCACAAAGGTAAGTTGGAGCCATCTATATTTTCAGCACAAACACTTTAAGGCTTCTACTTTAAATGTACAAATAAATCATCTAATATGGATTTAGTGTGATGGATCGTTTTAGCAGGATTGTACAAGTAATTACACTTCCACAGTCGTCTTCCGATTTGCTTGAGTAAGTCTTTGCACTATTAATTTGAAGGTGCTATATGCTTGAGACTTTAATGTATCATTTGGTATTTTAAGAATTATGCTGTTTATTGATTGATTTTTATGAATCAATATTTTATTGGCTACAGTGCTCTTTGTTACAGTTTTCCACAGTGCACTTCACAGATTAGCTTGCTGGCCATGCAGGCACAGACCAAAGTGAAAACTCTCCAAGTGGGAGAAAATAAATCTCTGGGGGTCCCAGGTCTGTTGGTTGCCCTCCCTTCAGGCTCTTGGTTTGTGGAACATTATAGTAGATCATAAACAGTATCTGCAAAGTTCAGGGCGGATATCCTGTGTTCCTGTCTGCCAACATGGTTATCTGGGAGAAGGTGAAGCAGAAATTTGCTGATTTACTTGGGTCTGGTATTGCAGCTTCTAATGTCACAGGCCATCGAGGGGACATACATGATGTTAAGAAGGATGCATAGGTCTTTGGCAGGAATGCTCCTCAGCGCAAGCAGAAAGCATGCTGTTGCTCTGCTGTTTACACTGTGTTGGCTGGTCTGCTTTAGATCCAGGCTGGTGGCATGCTGAATGGACAGCTTATGGAAAACCAGAGGACAACCTTCATCAAGCAGCTGAAGTTGGGCAAGGTTGGTGCCAATTTGTTCTTTCAGATCCCCAACCTATACGTTCTACAGACAGATGCGCTTTGTAGCTCTGTGTACTGTGCCTGGAAAGCAAAAATGAGTAATATTTAAGCTTTTAAGTATAAAATGAGTGGACTACTATCAGAAACGTGATCAGTAAATGCGTTGGCATCGATTTCTTTCACACATTTACAGGATGACCACAAAGGAAACATTAGACCAGATTCCCTCACTGAGAATCTCATTTCCATTTTCTACTTGAGAGTCACGCTAAGGAAAGGCTTCAGACTCCACAGATCTGCTCAGAAGATTCCACTTGCGTTGTAAACCTAAAAACGTTATAAAGGGGAAATACATTTGTAACTCCTCTGTACGCCCCAAATCGTAGAGGTGCAGTTCAGTAAAAAAACAAAACTTATGAGATAAACTGGTTGTGCGTGCAAAAAAATATTAGAATTTGTCACTGTTGTGGCATACAGTACCTCTGTGTCGTAGCCATTCCTGCGGACGTGCCAAGCCCTCCAGAGAAAATGAGATGGTGAAATGACAGCCGCTCTGGGAGAGAAAAGGCAGTGAGACCGGGGGGTGCTTACCTCGCCTCACTCCTGTACGGATGACATTTGTTTGGAATCATTTAAACTCTCTGGGGTGTTTGGGATACAAATTTAGTGATCAAATAGGCAGAAATCGAACCCGTTTTGCGAAATGCATGCTGGGAAGTGCAGTCTACTCCCTCTAGAGAATGCATGCTGGGAAGTGCAGCTACTCCCTCTAGAGAATGCATGCTGGGAAGTGCAGTCTACTCCCTCTAGAGAATGCATGCTGGGAGGTGCAGTCCACTCCCTCTAGAGAATGCTTGCTGGGAAGTGCAGTCCACTTCCTCTAGAGTACATGTGTGGTCACAATGGAGATGGGGGGGGGGGGCCCTGATGGGTAAATCCCCGTTAATCGTCCTCTCCTCGTGCGTCTCCCGTTCAGCTTCCCCAGTGCCTCTGCATCCACCTCCAGCGGCTCACCTGGTCCCACCAGGGCAGGCCCCTCAAGCGGCAGGAGCACGTGCAGTTCGCCGAGTTCCTGTCCCTGGACTGCTACAAGCACCGGGCGCCAAGCCTGAGGTCCCGCCAGCCCAACCGGACCAACCGGCCGGCCAGAGGGGACAGCCCCGCAGAAGCTCAGGAAAAGAGCTCCCCCAGGGGTTCAGGTAACGGTGTCTCAATCTCGCCGACTGTTATCGGCTCTGCATTAGCTTCTGTTCCATCGGATGAGCATAGAAAAGAGAGACTAAAACAGATTTTCAATTTGCAGAGACAGAACGCTTGCGCAACAATAGAAAGCTGGTGCCCAACGGAGCATGCTCAGCTTTGATTCTGAACTCCCCAGCTTTGAGCTCCCAGTTCCCAGCAGTGTTTGACTGCAGGTGAGTGGAACTTCTCCGAAAAATACAGTGACAACTGAAGATCTGGTCACATAGCTGCCACTGTTATGGGGAGGAACAATGAGCTAGAGAAGGAAAATGAGCCTGCCTGCTGCCTGGTGAGTATAGGTGTAGAGGAAACGGAATGCCATCCATAGCAGTGATGGAAAATGCTGGAGATTCATTTCAAATTTGGACAGAAGTTAAAACGGAGTAAATCAAAAAATTGCCATGCTGGCAGTTATTTCATATAACCATCAAATGAAATGCAGACACTCTGCACGATGTGTGTTTTCCCACAGCTCTTCTGTGTACCTGTTCCGGCTGACAGCTGTGTTGGTCCACCACGGAGACATGCACTCAGGACACTTTGTCACGTACCGCCGCGGCCCCCCGTCCCCCAGGAACCCCCTCGCCTTCAGCAGCCAGTGGCTGTGGGTGTCCGATGACTCAGTGCGCAAGTCCAGCCTGCAGGAGGTGCTCTCCTCCAACGCCTACTTGCTCTTCTACGAGAGGGTCCGTCCCGCCAGCACGAGGCAAGAGTGTGAGGCCACTGGCTGCCCGCACTGAACCGCACACCCTGCCGCCTGGCGCTGTGCTGTGTGCTGGACATCCCTACCTGCAATTCTTCCAGCCCCGCGTGCAATTCTGATTCACCTAGTGCTGTTCTTTTGTCCAGTGTCCCGAAACTCTCTGGGAAAGGAGTGCAGGAACAGATGGAAGATGGAACTTTTAAGTGATGGATCTCCTCCTATCATGGATGAATCTTTTCAGAGTCACACAGAGAGAGGAAAGAAATGACAGGGCAACTGCGTTGCACCCCCTCTCCTCTCCTTCCGTTTACACTGTCCTTCGAAGTGATATCGATCTCCTCAACACCTTAAGCAGTGACAAACCGTAAAGGAATGAAGGGGGCTGTGGCCACGAGGATGCCTGTTTTGGCATATAGAAGCAACGCCTTCATCCGATCACCAGATCCAACTGAGAGCGGGAGACCTCAAGCATTATAGCAGAGGTAACAGAATGAACTGGGTGAAAACATATCTTTACCACATGCCTAGATCTGTAGCATTATCCGGAACTTAATGTGCCACTCTGTAATCAGTGCTAATGGATCGTTTAATTTCTAATGAATATATAATGGAGCAAGGTCAAAGACGGACTTGAAAATCTGAAAATGAAAAAAACTGGCACAGGGGACAGAATATTTGACTGTTTTAAGGTTGTCTCAGTGGTATTCAAACATCTTCTTCCTAAAACGCACTTAAGACCTTGTTAGTATCTTAGAAATCGATTCCAAAGGCTCGAAATAGCAAAATAAGAAAATGATTTTGAATAAAGTGCCTCCTTGCTAGGCTGAACTAGAAGTGGGGGTAGTGCTGCTCATCCTTTGTTATTCAGGGGATCATAGGTGTTTTATTGTTATTTCATTGTTAATTAAGAAGGGATCATTGCTTGTTAAACTTTGTCTAGGATGCTTTTGTTTTATTTAAAAAAAACCTTGGCTGATTTACCATAAAAGCAATTTGGGTACATTTATGAATAATCACTCAAAATCCAGCATTTCAGTTTTGATCCAATATATCTTTATTAAAAAGTTCTCTGCATCACGGTATACTGCTCAATTACTTGTAGATATTATGTTTTTTATGAGATGTGCCTCACTACACTGAAACTGCCCCATCTCTCTTCGTGAGAAACAGGTTTTGTATGCTGTTGCATCTTTGATGTCTTTTTGCAAACAACAGGGGGCATAATTATTTTTACCCTTTGCTTATATTTATATAATGTGACAGCTACAACAAGCATTGGTACTTTGATACAGGCTTGGCAGTGAAGGCTTCTGTTTTCTGCCCCTTAGTCAGAGCCCCTGTGTGTACAAGCATGTGGTTGATTAAAAATGTCCTCAGAGTGACCAAAGGCCCTTTTGTACAGTATATCCAGTCAGATTGCCCTGGGATAATCCAAGAATCACCAGAGGAGGTGACTACAAAGACCAAAAAAATAAACTCGCCGTTTTCTGGAGAAATATGGAAATGTCATATTGATGTTCATCTTGATGTCTTGCAATAGTGTCAGTATTGAACTCCTCAACATTGTTATCAGTTCCAAATATGGGGCAGCAGCTTACAATTCCCCTTGTCCCGTTCCTCTTGGGAAGTGTTTGAATTACCGTATAAATTCTCAATCAGCTTGAACGGACTTGAACTTAATAATTTCATGGCAGTACTGTACATGCCATCTTAGTGCACAGTTTTTTGTTGAGAGAAATGAACTGCATGATCAGAGATACCTTCCTGATTAGATAACATCCACAGGTTAATCCCTTTAAAAGAAGACAACAGGATAACATATTTTGTGCAAGTCCCCTAGATCTGTGATTTTAATGGGAACAGGAACAAGCCAAAATGCTATGACTTGATGAACATACAATTTATTACATGAACCTTCAAGCTGTGAAAACAAACCTGCCACTTAGTCTCATTGCTGGAACTGTAGGACAAAATGTACACCCTGAAGTAGTTTGCTCACTATCAGAGTGAGAATATTAATGAAATTGTTTAATGCAGATTTTATACAGGGGTGGCACAGTGGTTATCATTGGTTCCCTGGGTTCAGTTCCGGACCCGTGTGAGTTTCCTCCTGGTACTCCAGTTTCCTCTCGCAGTCCGAAGACAAACTGGTGGTTTAACTGGCTTCAGGGAGAAACTGACCCTGGAGTGACCGTGTGCACGTTTGTTTCTATATGTGCCCTATGATGGACTGGTGTCCCATCCAGGGTATATCCTGCCTTCCGCATTGAATTGGATGAAGCGGTAAGAAAATGGGTGGATTATGTTATAGTGAGATATAAAAGGAAAACAGCAGGCTGCATTTATTCCATACTTGCTCCTATATGTAACTCCCCTGCAAGACGTTTGCACTAATGTATGTTTTTAATATTTGTTGTACGATCTGTTGCCATGCCAAACATGTTTTGACGTGTTCATAGATTTAAATATGAACAAATAAAATGGATTGAATAAGATAACGCAACCAAGTTTTGTTCCTCTGTTGTTTCTGAATAGGTATGAAAGTGCCTTGTCTTCAGTCAGCTTTAAAGGGGAACTGCAGTCCCAGCTTCTCAGACCGGTTATTAAATGGGGGAAACAAAATAAATTCAACAACGCTATAGAAATTTTCCATTTTCCACAAATTCCATTTATCTGCGACAGCGTCCAGAAATCGGGAGCAGTATTTCTATTGGATTAAACGAGATGTATTTACAAGCCTGCTTGTGTACAATGTAACAGGGCCACACCACATCACCGCATGTTGTGTCGCCTCGTTTCTAAATTGCAGAAGATGGCGTTGCACATACCTGGAAAATTCATCTATTTTGTGATGTGAATTGAAGGTTTTACAAATTATTGTGCACATTTTACTACGTTCATTGTGGTTTGAAATGCACTCATCAGTGCTGGTTCTTCCTAACCCCGAGAACCCTACAACTGCCAAGTAACACAACTAAAATTCTGCATTTGATTCAAACTCCCACCTCCTTACGTGATCGTGTGATATGATATGATCTCATATGGTACCACAGTTGGACAAGGTTCTTCGCTGCCTCGTGGGTCTCTTAACAGTATTTATTTGTTCGTATAATTTTTAGAAAGTCAACATCTCTCGTGGGAAAAGCGCTGTTTTACTAGAACAGCAGAAACGGACACTGTGCCGTTTGCAGCAGTCTGCTAGCGGGGGAAACGCGCTGGCGTCAAGGGGGGGCGCTGTGCCCGGCGGGCGCTGCTCTCCCCCGACCGTCCCGGAGGATGCGCCGGAAGGTGAGGTTGACGCGGGGCAGGGGGACCCTCTTCCGCACGGGCAGGCTGTGGTACCAGCGGGCGTTGGTCGGGGGGTTCATGAGCAGCAGGCTCCCGTGCTGCAGCTCCAGCCTCACGGGGGCGATGCGGGGGGCGGGGGCCCGCCGGCCCCGCGCGTCCTGGTGCTTGAACACGAGGTCGCGCGCGGCCCCGAAGGACACCGAGGCGATGGGACAGGCAGGGTCGAGCTCCCGCTCGTCGTCTCGGTGCTCCCCCATGTGGTCGCCTCCGTCTCTGTACCTGTCGAGGGCCGAAGACAGAGCAGGCTGTTGGGCGGGACCGCTGCCCTTTCCGAGAAGCCCCAGCCTGACCTGCGCCCCCATGTGGGGGATCACTGTACAGTTTCGTCCTAGAGCTTAAGACGCCTGAGGACTTCAAGCGTCTTAAGCTCTAAGACGGCACAGCGCCTAATCAAAACTGTGTCACATCCTTCAGGGCAACTAACAGCAATCAGTTCAATTCAAACCAAAGTGTTTTTTTACAGCATACCCCACTCAGTTTGGGATTGCTGGCTGAATGTTTAAAAACAATTGTTTACACTGTAACATTTAGCAGTACTGCAGAGGGAGAATGCGGACCTGGTTGCTCATCTTTTGATGCCCTGTAAGTGGCTACAGGGGAGTTAATTATGACGAGGCGTGGTGCATCTCTGCCTGACATCACTGCGGACCCAACAAGTCACCAGAGAAAGACCAAAAGACCTGGGCAAACGTCAGCCCACCCTACCCTAGCTCAAGCTGGGCTCGCTCTCAGGAGCCCCAACGGCACCTACAAGCCCATCCAGGATGATGCTTTCCTGGGAAGTGTGGAAGTCTGTAGAGGTTAACGACTTGAAAATGGGGAGGAATTGACTGACGTTCCTGAACTTAAACAAATAAACAAAATTTACATTCTTTGTTTTTGAATCCAGTAATGATTGATAACATTTTCTGAGCCTAACCTTCGATGAGGCAACCCCTTTGCATCAGCTGCGGCTATAATACCGTGTGAAAATGACACATCAGTGTTTCCCAGCTACTCTGGAGATCTTTCCCTGCTACGAAGTTACCTGTTCACGAGGACAAAGTTGAAGGTGTGCCCGGTCGCCTTTGTAACGCAGTCCCGGATATACTCCAGCACAGGGGTCCAAGGCCTGGCCAGGTGATGAACCCCAGAGAAGGAATACATCAGCCCAGGGTCTCCGTAAGTCGCTTGCTTCCTCGGAATATTATAGAACTTCCCGAAAACCTGCACCTTGGCTTTCTCTCCTGCAAGACACAGGGGATTTGCTGATGGGATATGTGCACACACACATCGCTTCGACAAAACCCAACAGGTAGAGCAGTGCTGGTAAGTGTAACATCTTCAGGCAATTCCTCGGACAAAAGCCATCATTACTGAAAAGTGTCTGAACTTCTTTAGATGGTGATACATGCAGAGTGTATGACCTTTTTGAATATCGGGGCATGAGGAAAGCTGGATGGCAGTACAGATGATTTCAGATGAAGACACACTGGCAGCATGTTCATCTTCAAAATCTGGGCTACAACCTACCTTGGAAGGAGAATGAAGGTAAGATGTTTCTCGTTTGTTTTTTGTATTTCGGACTGCAAATAGAGGGGCATTTTTCCATCTATCCACTTTATGACCACTTCATCCAAACTAGGCCACTGGGGAGCTTACCGTGTGCAAGCAAACGGCACCCTGGACAGGAAGCCAGTCCATCACAGGGCACAGACACTCACCTCAGGGCTAGTTGTCTCTGAAGCCACTTCACCTGTCATCATGTCTTTGGAGCGTGGGAGGAAACCCATGCAGATATAGGGAGCAAATACAAACCAGCTGCATTTGTACTTCATAAAATCATCCACATAACCAGGAACACTAAGAGGAAACATGTCAGTCGTGTTTCCTCTTTCCTGTCTGGACCACTATTGAAATGCACCTGGAATGATGCAGAACCAGTGGAGGCTGGGGTGCAGTTGAACCCTTTGAGCACTATTAGTCAGTGCAGGGCACTGTAAGAACACGAGTCGGACTGTACCTGAGAAGTATTCGATCTCTTCCTCCAGCTTTTTAAAGAGCCTGTCCGCCTCTGCTTTCGAGAAGAGCACAGTATAGTCCAGATCCAGCGCCTCTGCCTCAATTTTCTGCCAGGGAAGAGGAGCAGAAAACTCGCCCTCGCTGGGGCAGTCATATTCCTCCTCATCCCCGGACACCGCGCACCGCGTCCTCTTTCTCTCGTCGGTCGTCTCCAGCTCGTTATGTGTCGCCACTGCTACTGCTGTTGCTGTTGCTGGCCGTTTCTTCGTCCTGGTCACAAACCTGTCCATACGAACTGCTGCCAAACAGAGTTAAAACACTGATCTCAACACAAAAATAAGAAGCCCGCTGCAGTCCTATAGTCCAGACGTCCAATCGCAGCTGACGACAGCCGAGAACTACAGTACAGCCAAATGTTTATTTTTTTATTTTGGAATTTCAATTCCCAATGTAACAAAGCATTCGGATAAGTTCAAGTAAGTGCGTCAGCAAGCGTAAGCTGGAAAGAAACAGGTAAAGGTTTATTTCATGCTTAAAGGAAAAGAAAAGAGACACGTTTCGCCTGTGGAGCCTTCTTCAGGTGCGAAGTATTCGGATGACAGTGTTGCATTGCTGGAGTACAGGATTAGCTGAAAGGAAATGCTGGTTTCCCTTAAAATTCAACGCGCAGCCATACCTTTGAATCATAAACTTATATTGGTATATTTTATATTTAAGTAATTGCAATGTGCACTTCAACCTGGGAAAGCCATTACATAATATTGTGCGTTTTAAGAAATAGGTGCGTTCTGCACACCCTACCTGCAGACAACAAACAGATGCACAAACACAAACACACACACCAGTGCGCTGCTCTGCCCGCCCCGCTCACTTCCTCTTCGGCTTGTGAGCGAATTCTCGCGTGGGGCTTCAAAGCTGGCGGGAAAAGCGCTATTCCGCAGCCTGTGCGCTAGTGGAGAGGCGCTCTGTTCTGGCTCCCCGAACTTCAATATTTTTATCACGTATATAAAGTGTTGTAAACGCGCGGAAATAAAATGATTGGGCAGAAAACGATTAATTCTTATTTTAACCCCGTGAACAAGAAAAGGGCTTTAGAAGAGAACAATGAGGCAGGAGAAGACGCCAAGGAGAAAAAAGCGGTAAGTATAATTCTTAAAACGGCAACGCGCTTTCATTGTGCTTGGAAATGAGATTGTATTGCTTTATACACATTCCAGTTTTAGAATATGTTAAGACTGTTTTAATGGCAAACGTTAAAGTGAGTTAAGGTCACGTTTGCGTTATGGTCCTATAACTAAATGGTATACCTACGTTTGTAAATCTAAACCTCTAAACAAGGTTTTCAAGTTTTAATTTTATTTTGAAAGCCGCTATAGAAAAAGAAATCGTATTTTAGTCATTCATCTTTCTTTTCATCCAGAATTGGGAATAATCTAGACACCTGCTTGTTGTAACTGAAACCTGGCGTTATAATACCTCAGTTCTTTGGTACCATGAACGGAACGTCCATTGTATTTGCTTCTAGATAGATAATTGATAGTTTTTCTGTTTCTGTTGATTCAATCTTTTCGACCACGTTGTTTTTCCCCCGCCTCCTAGCTTGTGGCATGGAGTTGGTTCTAGGGGGCGTGGTTTAGACCAAGACAGCCAATAGCTGGGAAGTGGGCGGGGCTTCAAAGCTTCTTTTTTGCCGCGAAATTACTGCATGGGCGCCATGGGCTCCGGAAGTAAACATGTTGTACATCAATAATATTTAGCATTCATAATAGAAGCTCGGTTGCAATTTTTTTAAAGTACTTCACTTTAAAACTACCTTCTCGGAGTTATTTATTCGAACGTCATATACTAAGTATTTAATAATTCTAAAAAATGTTGTTTTCGCATGGATTCAGGTGTGTGTCAGTGTTTAAAATCAGAAGCAGGGCTAGTTCAGAGTTTATGAAACTCACACGCGGCATTATTACAAAATATACCAAGATCACTCCGGTGAAAAGGCAGAAAACGGCCAGCGATGGGGCTCCGACTTCCCCGCCTCTGAGTCCAGAGCAGCTCGGCCGAATCGAGAGAAACAAGCGGGCCGCTCTGGAGAGACTGGCTGCCCGCAACGTGCCGGAAGGATTCGGAGAGAGCTGGAAGAAGGAGCTGTGCGCCGAGTTTGGCAAGCCGTACTTCATAAGGGTGAGAGCAGTAAAACCGCTCTGTTCAAAAACGGCTTTAAGTGATGTTGTTTTTTTAGTTTAGTGGGTCGCTCTCCGACAGCATCTGCTTAACCACTTTGATAATTACTATGATAAAAGGTCAAAGAAGCTGTGACTCTTCAAACAGCGGCTAGAACAGTGGGTAAATTCTCAAGTTGTGTATGAGTTGCATATTTGAAACATCTGCAGATTCTTTCCAGTGAGCCACCTGCCCTAACTTATTCAGGATACATTATTTAAACAAAAGAACAACTGAGGCTGATTAAGCCCCAGCAAAGAGGAAGTCACAACCTTCAGACCCTTTTTAATTAATCTGGAACTGTTTTTGCACGGTAATGCAGTTTTTGTTTCTTAATGCTGTCTAAGATGTTTAAGTCTAAATGCATTAGTTTAATGGATATCTAATGCTTTGCTCTGAAAACAGATGCACAAGTGCTGGCTGTGGTGTGGGCGAATGTGATGATTGTGCATTTTTCTTGTCTTCAGCTGATGTCGTTTGTAGCCCAGGAAAGAGGACGCCACACTGTCTACCCACCCTCTCATCAGGTGTTCACCTGGACTCAGATGTGTGCCATTCGGGATGTGAGTGTTCTCCTTCTGTGCAACACCACAGTTTCAGATTTTTGTTACGAGCATACATTTATATGTATATATTTAATATAGTTTAGGACAACTGTCTCCTATCCTGGTCTTGGAGAGCTCCAATCCAGTTCGAATTTTAGATCACCTGTCCCTAAAGATTGGTAACGCATATAAAGAATCAGTCAGTCAAGTCATCAAAGTGTTCAATCAAGAAAACTGTAGACATTTAGGGCAGAAGAGTACTTAAGTCTTATTCCTAAAGATTTCTGAACTCTATAAATTAACATCACTTCTTTAGTTGAGTACAATGAAATTGCATCAGGTCTTTTGACATAGGTATGTAAATAATGACCTAGGAAACCTGCTGGACTGTGGTTCTCTAGGGCCAGGGATAGAATTCCTGTTTTAGGAGAATTTAAAAGATTACCAGTATTTGTTGCTATTTGAATCCCTTGTACCTCCTCCAATGTGTCTCTCTTTAAGCTGTCCTGAATTTGATTTGAGCCTATCGATGACAATGTTTTTGTCGTGACCTACAGGTGAAGGTAGTGATCTTGGGGCAGGACCCATACCATGGCCCCGGGCAGGCTCATGGGCTGTGCTTCAGTGTGCAGAGGCCCGTTCCACCCCCACCCAGGTATTGACTTTCAGACTTCTACTGCTGGAACCCGTGGGGTTGACCAGTGTGTAGTCAGAAGCTGGGGAGTCCTGTATTGTCTTCATCCTTCTAGATGAACTCATCTACAGCATGTAATGTCTAGAATCCTGACCAGGCCATGTGCAAGTAATCAGATTACTCCCGTCCTGGAGCTGTTGCACTAGCTTCCTATCAAATTTTACAGAAACTTTAAAATCCTCACGGTCACCTATAAGGTGTGTGGCCTGGCGCCTCAGTACTTGTCTGACTTGCTGTCGTCCTGCTCCCCACCTACAGCCTTTGTTCTGGCCTCCTGTCTGTCCCCCAAGCCTGTCTGCACTCCGTCTTCTCCCAGTAAGCCACACAGCTCTGGAATTCTAGCCCTAAGGATGTTGAGTGTCACCTTCCCCGAGCACTTTGAAATCAAGAGTCAAAAATCAAGCCCTTAAGAAGGGCTTTTATTTAACGGATCTATGTCTGTCCCCCCCTGTGCTTTCTGACTGTATTCCAAACCCCTATTATAATTTTGTAATCCTGACGTCTCCTCTCAGACTATATTTTTTTCTTACTGTAAAGTGCTTTGAGAAGCCACTTGTAAAGGTGCTATATAAAATTAAGTTTATTGTGTAATGATAATATTATGAAAAGTGGTAGTTGTAGGTTTACCAAGGTATTAACCTTTTTAGCTTAATTGTTTAGAGCTTTTTAACTGTACATTTTCTAGATGGGAAATGCACTGCATAAGAATTTCCTAACATAATAATAAAGTATTACTACAGACATAAAAGTAATTTAAGTTAATACACTTATGAATGGAGAATATATTTTTGGATTGTCAGAAGTGGTACTCTTGTGGACTCACGGGGACTGATAGAGGTATATGTTTGAGTGCATAGTAATTGATTTCATTTTCCTTTGCTTGTATTTTGGTTTTCTGCAAGTTAAGTTAAGTCTGTTGTGTTGTCCGCTTTGTGACTTTGTCTTTTGCTCCCAGCTTGGAGAACATGTATAAGGAGCTGTCTACAGATATAGAAGGTTTCCAGCACCCAGGACATGGTGATCTGACAGGATGGGCCAAACAAGGTATTTGGATTCAACCCAGCAGGAAGGAATACAGTTTTGACAGTAGCATGTATTTTTGAAATATTATAAACTTCTTAAAAAGAAGAAATGTCCAGTTTGGAATGCTGAGAGGATTTCACACAAGCAATAGCCTGTTTTACACAAGTAGTAGAACTGAAGCCCAGCTGTTCTTGTGTACATGATTGGGGGTTTCCCCATGAGCTCCGAGACACTGGGTCCTGCTCACTGCGGTTCTTGGCTTCAGGTGTTCTGCTGCTCAACGCAGTGCTGACTGTGAGAGCCCACCAGGCCAACTCGCACAAGGACCAGGGCTGGGAGCAGTTCACGGACGCCGTGGTGCTGTGGCTCAACAGGAACCTGGAGGGCCTGGTCTTCATGCTCTGGGGGGCCTATGCCCAGAAGAAGGGCATCGTCATCGACAGGGTAATGTCAGCTCGGCCTGGGGGAGGGGGGCTTCCAAAGAAGTGAGCAAAGCCAAGGCCATGTCATCTCATTGTAGTGTTATCAGTAATATAGGCAGATAAAGAGGAAGTTTATAAGCTTTTTGAAATTGCTAACGACGCCCAGCTTGGAGGGCTCCCCTACAGTCCTGGAGCCCTGCTGCACTTCTGAGGTGTCTGATGTTTGGGGTCTAACGCGGGCATGCGCTGCGCTGTGCTGTGTCTTGCAGAAACGCCACCATGTTCTCCAGGCTGTCCACCCCTCTCCGCTGTCGGTGCACCGCGGCTTCTTCGGGTGCAGGCACTTCTCCAAGACCAACGAGCTGCTCGTGAAGGCCGGGAAGAGCCCCATCGACTGGGAAGCGCTGTGAGGCCCAGCCTCGGCCCGAGACACATCTGCCACTGGTGGGCCTG